GTTATAATGCCCCCAGCCATCCCAAGAAAGGTAGCTCCTGATGGCTACAGGGAGAAAGCCTCCAGAACTCAGTTGAGAGTGAGCCACCACCAGCCTGTGTGGCAGATGAGAATGGACCTCTCTTCCCTGGGAAATGGATCTGGGTAAGACACCTACAGCCACAGTGATAATTGCATAGCAGGGATGTGTTGAGAGAGGGCAATGATGCGTGGTTTGCACTATCATACAACTCTAAAGTCCTCTTAACTACTCAGCCACATGGATACTGAGTGTAGAGTTCTTACCTACGTTACCTGGTTGATTTTTCAACTACGCAGACTGAATATCAGCTTGCTTTGAATGAAAAGGAAACTGAGGCTATGAGAATTTGAAGCTAAGCTCACATTGGCCCTATAATTAGATCTAGTTGCTTTTGCCTTCCTTTTTCCTAACTGGAGAATTAGAGCAAAAGAGAATAAAGATCTCAGATCAGAGTGAATAATATGGTCAGGGTTGCTTCCTTTATCAAAATACATCCATCAAGTCTGGTGGTGTGGTTCTCTGTCCTTAAGTCACACTGGAAAAGCTGGCCTTGACCTCAAGCTCAAGTTTCTTTATTTCTGACTGTTGGAGAATGTTTGTTCAAGTCCCAGCCATTGTTTTCTTGAAGGTGACCTTAGCATCCCCTGTTTGTCCAATTTCACAAGATTCTTGCCTATAATTTCCGTAATAGACTCTCCCACCTTGACAGACACTCAAGCTTTACTTCTCCCTCCCCTTAACCACAATTAGATGTATTTAAAAGCATCCAAGGGAAAGCTTGTTATAAAAGTCCACATTGTAAGTGTGGTATTGGTCAGGCTGAGTTAGACAAATCCTGAGTTTGAGGCCAGCAGCCTGAACTCAGGTTGTCTCAAAATAATGTCTAAAAATTACCAGAGCAAGGGTCATAGAGAACATTTTCCAGTAGAACAAATCAAAGACTCTGTGAGCACAGGTAAACCCTTTAATCACTGAGTTTTGAGTTTCCTCCTCTGTAAAATCAGTATGTCATTTCCCACTTTTCAGAATTGTTATGTGGGTTAGAAGCAACAGATTTAAAATACCAAGTACATAACGGGTGTGCAATAAATGATAGTTATTTTTATGCGATAGACACACCTGCACAGGAGCCGAAGACACACAGGTGCCTATTAAGTAAGCTTCTAACACCTCTGTCTTAGTGCAACTCTCAGGGCCATGAGTTCCTGATGAGAACTGGGTAGTGGCTCTTCAATGTGTTTAAACCATTCCCACATCCACTAGACAGGCCTCTTCTCTTCCTTGCCTTCCTCCTCAACTCTCCCCATCACCTCTATATAACTCCTAACGTTGTCTTTTTTGGGGGGATCCGGTCGTGGGGCCTGAACTCTGGGCCTGGGCACTGTCCCTCAGCTCTTCAGCTCAAGGCTAACACTCTACCACTTGAGCCACAGCACCACTTCCAGCTTTTTTCTTTTTGCTTATGTGGTACTGAGGAATCGAACCCAGGGCCTCATGCATGTAAGGCAAACGCTCTACCACTGAGCCACCTTCCCAGCCCCTCCTAAGGCTGTCTTTATCTAGAAGGTTCTCCCCTGGTGATATCACTGTGTTCCATGTTCTAAATTCTCACCAAGCCTCTGAAAAGCTTGTAAAAGTATGGGCCTTCTGTGGCCCACCATCTCAGTGGCTTGGGTCAAAACTCTGCTGTGTGTCTTTTGGGAAGATTCTTCATCTTTGATTATTTCTAAGAAATAAAATTGTGGGATGTTGGGCACGCCTCTCCTTGGTGATATTTCATGTCCATGTCCCCCCTCACTGGACAACTATCCCCTAGAGTGAGCAGATTTGCTTCCTTTCTAAAATGTGTACTGGGGGCAGGGCATGGTCTAATGCCTGCATAGCTTCTTCTTTGCGGCCATTCTAGTTGATTCTAGAATCAGCTAGTTGACTAATGGCTAACTGAACTAATCCCTAGGTGACTCTTCCAAGGATGTGCCTGAATGAATGTCCAGCTATGGAATACACTACCTTGCCCAGTCTGCACTGAACTCAAGATCTTTTCCTTTGCCTTCTTTGACTTCCTGTTGCATTTCTGATATTCTTAATAAACTCATGTGATGCATGGTGTATAGTAGGGATCTATAACAAATACCATCTTAATGAATCCTGCTGGCCTCTCATCCCTGCCCTTTGCACGCCGGAGGCACGCTGGGCACTGCCCCCTTCTGCCAGGCATCTCTGCTCAGTGGAGCAGCGATCTCCCAGGACAGAAGGCGGCAGCTTGTACTCGAAAGCCCATCACCCTTTCTCCCAAACTAGCCTACTCTGGGCTGTAAGCAGAGAGCCACGCTTGTTGGATGGGGATCTGGGACAGTCTGATTTGTGTTCCTGAATCCGGAACAGCGAGTGAAGTGTATGCGCTCCTCCCATGGCTGAGGTTTAGCCCAGATCCTCTCAGCTGTCTCTCTGGAAGAATCTCACCCAGAGACCCTCACACTGCCTGTGAACCTGGGCTGGGTCGGGACCTCACTCGCTCTGCTTGGCATTGTCTCTCTGCTCACAGGATTGCTCTGAGCTGTGTGTAGGAGGGATCAAAGCTATTTGGCTAGGTCACTACATTTTGGTCCTCCCGGCTAAGCGTGGGTTTACAGAAGTATCCTCTTAATGTGATGGTGTTTAAAGGAGAGCTAAATATCTAGATACTTTGGTCAAAGACTAGCTGGGATGCACCAAATATGACTGAATCAGAATCATCACTTGAAATTCTGGGCCTGTCACCCATGGTTTCCATTGATGACTATCCTGAGTCCAGATGCTAAGCTTCTATACTAGCAATAAATTGAACTTATCCTGTGATCATTTGACACTGATCTGGAAGCTCTGGCAGCTGGATTGTAGCCTTAATGCTGGACCAACTTTCTTCGGTTATACCCACCTGTGACAAGCTGTGTTCCCACTAAACCATCTCCCTTGAAGACAGGCTTTCACTGGTGACTTTCAGATTGTTATCTTGGGCCTCCGAGATTGTCATTGTAAGTTTATTTCTGTCACTACATTCTGGGGCAGCCCTGGGACCTCGCTTAAACTTCTCCATGCCCTTCCATTCTTCAGCTCTTAAATGACTAGGGTAAAACCAAGATCTATTGAACTGCTGCAGAGGGAATTGCCCCGTATTGCACAATACCATGTCCACTGGAAGTCTGCCATAAACATTTCTACCCCTCTCCTGGTTGAATGACAACCTTAGTGGGTTCTGAGGAGGAAGGCATTCTGGGTGTCATCTTGCACAGCCTGGAGGAGTAGGGTGTGGAACATAGGAGGTCAGGTCAGGCTGGAGCTGCTAAGCCACACATCTCTGATAAGGATGGTGAGAAAAATGCAGCCCTTTCTTACCCTTCCTGTCTCTAAGGCATACTGCTCAGGGCAGAAGACTTCTTGACTCCAGGGGAAAAATGTCAAGTCAGGAAGAACAGTGTCTGAGTCTGAGCTCTGCCTAGGATGCTCAGAAACACCTGGGAAGAAACAAACTCTCAGGCCAATGAGCAAACTTCACTGTGATGGAATGTGAACTCTGAACTCTAGTCAGTGTGATCTGGGACAGGTTCCTCAGGCCCTAGGGCCTCTTTCCCCCTCTTTGAACGAGTAATTCTTTTGTCCTCAAATTGCTTAGGGAAATTCCTAGGTACAGAATGCAAACTATAGTGTCTCAAGTCTACCGTAAGCACAACTTGTGTCAGTAAACAATATTAATTTGTTTGTTTGTATTTTCCATTACTTTAATGACCACGTTTTGTTTTCGTAAGAAAACACCTATTTATTTATTTTGTTGGTCATGGGGCTTGAATTCTGGGCCTGGGCACTGTCCCTCAGCTCTTCAGCTCACGCCTAGCACTCTACTACTGGAGCCACAACACCACTTCCAGGTTTTTCTGCTTATGTAGTGCTGAGGAATTGAACCCAGGACCTCATGCATGCAAGGCAAACACTCTACCCCTGAGCCACCTTCCCAGACCCCACCTATTTAATTTTTCAAGGCTAATGATAGAGAAATGCAGGAGAGCTGGGGAACTGGCTGATGTGAGCAGCCCTGCGGCGTGGCTGTTCCAGGTCAGCACGAATCTCTGCTTGTGTGCAGGTACAAAGGTTCTAAACTCTGCCCCAATATGGCCCTTTTCACGGCTTCCATCTCTGGGAGTTTAACATGTCCTTCAAAAGCAGGATTCCACACTTGGAGGTGATTTAAAAATAAACCTGCATTTCTGTCTCAATGCATATGAGAAATTACATGTTGCACATCTATACATACATGTGTGTATCCATACATGTGTATATACATAAAACATACATATAGGCATGTATAGACATACACATAAATGCACAGATTGATCTTTCAGGATAAAAGGAACACTCTCAGAATAAGCAAGAGGTTATTGCACTTGTGTTTCACTTTCCACCTAATCTGTGGACTGGAGACACACATAGAGTTTGCAATCATTGTTTTTAGTGTAAAAGAGTTTCCAGAGATCCTGGGGGCAAAGTCCATAGACTCAGTCTATTCTGAAAGACAAATGCTCAATCTATTTCTTGTATGTAGAAACCTTCTACCCCTGGTGAGACTAGAAGGATATGTCCTATTTCTTTTTGAAGTTAGAATCAAGTCACAAATAACCTTCTATAAGCTATTACCTGCTTATCCAACCAGTGAACTGTCATGTCTGCTACAAGTTTACCAAGGGTTAAACTCCCCATGGATACCGATGCCTAACAGCTCTCCCACAGCCAAAAGAGAATCTAAGAGAAGATAATTCTTACGATGCAAGTAAAAAAAAAAAAAAGAAATATATCTGATGATGATAGGGAGACACTCAAAAGGACAATGTAGACAGGTGAGGAGAAGGAGTGAGGAATCATCTTTCTTTTTTCTGCCATGAATAAAATAGAGACCACGAGTTGGGGGCCAGTTAATTATATTAAAAAAAAAGAAAGTATCTCCAGAAAAATCTTTTTTTTCTCAGTGAAATAGTTTAGTTCTTTCATATAACATATTACACAACGTTAACAACCATGAAAAAACAATACAAAATGCCCTCCGTTTAACAAGTAGAAAAATATAACTAGTATTTTTATATTTATATATATATATATGGCAATTGTGAATCTAATACTGTACAGAAGTAATTTATGGAATTTATTTTTACAAATAAATTATAGCTTAAATGCCTTTTCTTTCTGTTTTAAATTCTCTCCCTCCCCCTCTGGATGTACAGGTCTGGGTTTCTGCCTGGGACCATGATCGCCCATCAGTGCCAGTCGAATGTTCTGCCCACCAGCTCGAAGAACTTCTTATTGGGCTCGTGGAAGTACTCGTGCAGTTTGTGGAGGAGTTTGGGGTCCACCTGGGGGTGCGCGCGGCCCTTGGACTCGTGCAAGCAGCGGTCCCGGCCCCCGTCCCGCAGACAGTAGAACCCTTTGGTCTTGTTGAAGTAGAAGTTGGAGGCGTTGATCTGGGGCGCCAGGCGCAGGAACCTCTCCACCTTCTGGATCTCGGGGAAGGGGTCCCGGATGAGGCGGTCCCCGTCCACGATGTGGAAGCGGCCGAGCGGGAAGAAGCGCAGCCAGTTCTGCATGTGCACGTGGTACAGGCTGCGGTTGAGCGCCTTGTAGTCCACGTTGAGGTGGCCGTGGCGCACCAGGAACTCCTCGATGGCCGGGTAGGGCTTGCGCTTCTGCAGGTGGTTGTAGAACACCTGCGTGTAGTCGGACAGCACGCGCTCCGAGGGGTCCCGCAGGATGAGCAGCAGGCGGATGGCGGGGTTCATGCGGTGCACGCGCGCGGGCACTTTGGGGGAGGTGAAGTAGGCCGGGGTCTTCTCCACCGTGAGCTGGTGTGGCAGGGACAAGGGCATCTGGCTGAGGTACCAGCCCAGGCCCTGGCTGTAGTGCTCCTCCCAGTCGAAGAAGTGCACCTCATTCTCCGCGGCCGCCACGTCGGGGTGCAGGCTGAGCATCTCCAGCAGCGCGCGCGTACCGCCCTTGCGCACCCCGATGATGATGGTGTGAGGCAGCTGCCGGGCCGAGCCGTTGGTGGGGGCGACCCCCCCGCCGCCATCGCCGGGCTCGAACCCGGGAGAGGCCGGGCGCGAAGGCACCAGCCGGGGCTGGGCCACCAGCAGCAGCGCGCCCAGGAGCAGCGCCGCCCAGGCCATGCTGGACAGCTGGGGGGGGCCTCAGGGCGCCCCACGCGGCTGGGACCGACCTCCGATCAGTGGCACATGGGTGTGGAAGGCTGCCGGTTACTGGGGAGAAAGAAAAGAACAAGGACACGTGTTAACCCCAAATGAAAGAGAGAAGCCACACCGTGGATGCCTGTAGTCTGGGCGCTGCATTTTACCTTCTTTGGAGTCTTGTTCGTCTGTCTGTAACACTTTGTAAGAGTTTAGAGTGAAAAAAAATATATGTGTGTATATGTGTGTGTGTATATATACACACACACACACACACATATATATATATATATATATATCTTTGGGAATATATATATATATATATATATATTTATAATGTGGAGGTGGAGGTAGAGCTATGGCGTTTATGGTAATTCCTGTTCCAAATGTGATGTTAGACATCTTGAGCACCCAGAGAAGAAGGACCAAAGCACTGGCCAAGGCTGTGTGCCAATAACTTTGTTTATTTAAATTTACATGCCCTGATTTTTATTCATAGTACACTCCCTCTATTTTTCCCTATTTGTTTGCAAATCTCCGTATGGCTATCTCACACGTGGTACAAAAACAAGGCCAGAGACCCCTTCTTGGCCACCATTCCACAGCCCCTGCCCTACAGAAAAGGGTGGAAATCTCGGTCACTGGGCTCCACCAAACACCAGGGAAATAGCTGCCTACGTCTCAGTAGCCTTCAGTGATCTAGAACAAGGCTTGTTTCTTCACCCCCCCCCACCGCCGCCCTTTTAAGGGCTCTTCGTCTCCCAGGGCAAGCAAACCTGAGCAAGAGAACCATCACCCAGTACCCAAGCCTGGCATCGGTCTCACTGGGGCAGCAAGGAGAAAGGAGAGAAAGGAGAAGAGAGCAAGGAGAAACTTGATGTGGGCTTGACACATGGTGAATGGAGAGCCATGGCAACGCTGGCCTCACGAGGCCAGGCCCCAGCGCCGGTGCCACCACCATGGGGAGAAAGTGTCCTGGCCAGCAGCTGGCCTTGGGGTTCTACTCATCAAACCACACCCCAGCCCTTTATTTTGCTTCAGTAACATTTCAGACAAAGTCCTCATACTGCAACCCTCCTACGGATGCCTCCTGCAGAGCTGAGATTACAGATACAAGCCACCACCCAGCACTTTGAGTGTTGACATGGGGGGGTCTCACCAACCTTCCCTCCCCCCCCCGGCTGACCTTGAGTGAGATCCTCCTGCTCTCCACTTTCTGAGTAACTGGGGTGACAGGCGTGAGCCACCAGGCCTACCCTCTGGTGAGTGTTACTTGACTGTTTGCAGAAAGATGTGGTGGTAGGTTGGTAGGCACATCCTTTATTGGCCTGTGACAATGGAGAAGTCTTCACAGGAGAAATGCTTACAGTGAACAAGAGGGGTAAAAAGCTCCCAATTGGCTCTATGGATCACTGCTATCGCTCTTAGTCTTAGTGTAGGCATCTTCTCTGTAGATGACCGACGTGTTGAAGGAGCCCCAAATGTAGTCCATTTCTAAAATCAGTGCCCGGATTCAAAGCTAAATTTCCTTCTCTCATTCTTCAAACTGCCTCCTTCTACCCAATTCCTCTTCTTCACCTTTCTGAGAGCATTCGGCCAGTAAAACCCCAGAAGGACACACACAGGCTAATGACTACTTAGCCTTGGTGTCCCAGAGCGGATATGTTGTGGGATAGGCTGTGGAGGAGCACATGCACGAGCACCTGTGTTTGGCAGTCTCCAGACCAGAGGAGACTTTGAATGTTCACTTCAGTAACTCTGCTTCAACACTGAAGGGATGGGTTAGAGACAGGCCTAGTATGGGCCCTGCCATGTTTATAAAACCAGTGAAATGTTTTCTATTGAGAAGATCCATCCCCTTCTTTAGAATGTGTTTCAATTGTACTTCACCATGTTAAAAACAAGTAAAATTTGATGACTGGATCAGGCATGGTAACTCATGCCTCTAATCCCAGCTTGTCCAGAATATATATATATATATATATATATATATATATATATATATGAACAACCAACACAACCCAGGACTTCAGATCAAATTTCTTGATCTGTTTCCCCTGCCTTGAAAAAACAAAACAAATGTAATTTATGTAGCAAGCAATGGACCAGATTTGCTATCAGAGAATGAGAGTGCACCAGGGCAGACACTTGAGAGATTAGATAACAAATATTTTTTAAGGAGAAGAAGTGTTAAGGAGGGTTGGCCACACAAGATGTGGTTTGAGGCCGGTTGTGCTGATGGGGTGTGCAGGGAGAGTAATGGGTCATTTGCTTCAGTCAAAGGAATGTTTCAGAATGCTTCAGTCAAATTTTATTTCCTTTTCAAATGATCATGTGGAGAGAAAAAAATAGGCCTGGTGGTGGTGGTGGTGGTGGTGGTGGTGTGTGTGTGTGTGTGTGTGTGTGTGCACGTTTGTCTTTGTGTATCACATGTGCATATGATTTCATGGTCCAGGGGAAAGGTAAAGTACTAACACCTAAAACTAAGCATCAGTTCTGCATGAAGACCCACAAAACAATAACCCAGCTAGATCTGCTGTTTAAATAGTCTGGCTAGTTGATGCTGTTTTCTGGGTAGTACAGGATACCTCTGAGACAGCTTCTAAAGGGGGAACTACCAGCAGACAGCCAAAATACAGTTTGGCTTTTACAAAAAAAAAAGAGAGAAGAAAATGAAAAAAGGCAGTTAGTAGTTAAAAGCCCCTTGTTTCTACTTTAATACTTTCTAAAAATGAATGCACTTATGTCTAGACCTTTTGCATTCCAAATATATTTCAGTTTTACAGGGGAAAATGAGCTGAAATCATATCTATCTGTGTGTATACATATATATGTATGTTTATGCCAGAGTAAATATACATATATTTCTAGCTACACATGTTATATATGTGCATATAAGTATATTTGCATATATGCTACACATGTATATAGACTGCGTATATGTATTTTCATACACATATGCATATCTAAGTAAATAGGCCATGTTACTATACACTAATATGTAATGGAATATGTATGCACACAAAATAGCGAGTGGGAGAAAACTTCTTTTGGTGGCTCAATCATTTGGACCCTCCAGAGGCATAGCCAGAAAAGATGCCCACGTTCAGACGGAGCTGGAAGCTCCATCAGCGCCACACTGACCTTGACAATGGAATCTCAGCATCAGAATGACGCTTGGAATTCCGGCCCAAGAGAGTCATGTTGTCTTTTCATGTTATCAGTGAAGATGCTTGAGATGACTTCCCACAGCCACAGTTCCAAATCTGGACTTGGAAATTTTGGATCCTGAATTCTAGTCCTGTAGCCTTGGTTGCTATGACTGCTTTCTATAAAACAATGATTGTGCTGAAGGGGTCCCCAAAGCAGAGAGACACAACAGAATAGAGCCAGCAAGGACAATTGCTTGGCCACCAACTGCAGAATCAGCTGATGCAGGGGGTACACCCAGCATGATGCCACACCCAATCATCTGTTCTGCTTAGCAGATGGGGTGAAGGCATCATGCTTCCCGCTTTGACCTTGGTCAGTGTGTCTTTGCTTCTCAGCCTGTAAAATGGGCGCATTTCCACCAGCCCCAATGACTATACTGAAACGGAAATAAGATGATATGCCAGGGTTGTCCAACAGAAATATACTGTAGGCTGGATCTGTCCTTTTAAATTTTCTAGGAGCCATTTAAAACGTATTTATTGTGATCGACATATATCCAAAATATCACTGTTGCAATGTGCAATCACTATGCACAATCTGATGCATCCTTTGTATCAAGCCTAAAAAAATCCACTGTGTGGATCTTTATAGTACCTGTCCAGGCTATGGTGGAAAACACACGTGGAGCACTAAGCCACAGAGGAGGCCTTCCTGAGCGGGAAGAGGATCAGGAGGGTGAGTCTGAACTTGCCAAAGGCACAGACGCAACCATTATTCTCCCTGAAGATAAATTCACTCTTCTCCCACAAGGAGTGAACCAGGTCATCCTGAACACATGGAATGGTCTGGAAGTTTGGAGCTGTCAAGGGCAGGGAACTAGAATGCTCCACAGCATCTGGAGCTGAGGACATCCCTTCAACCTCCTCTCTCGTCTGTGTCATGGGCCCTGTGTAGGCTCTGGGCTAAGGATGACTTTTTGATTCATGGGATATCCTTCCTGCCAACTCCACCAGAGTGGTCTCTACTACAGGAGGAATGCAGTGGTTTTGTCTAGAGAGCTGGGGGACAGGGCAAGGATTCCAACACTGAGCAGGCAAAGCCCAGGTCTTTGTTTCCCACTTCACTTCTTGGCAAGATCTACAGTTAGTGTACAAATAGTTACTGGGCCAACCAGTTTGATTCTTAACCAAGAACTGGGTGTGCATGAGTCTTACTAACTGGGCCTCTTGGTCTGGTTCTTCAGCCCTGTTAAATATTCATGCTCGGTGCTGATTCTTGGATAAGCAATAGCATTTCTATGAAGACTCAGCTTTGCTTGGATGAGCAAAACACGCACCTTCCTTCCTCACAGGTCAATTAATAGTTCCCAGGGGCGGACACAGCCATTTCTGTGTGCTGTTTTCTAGGCGCTGCCGTGACAAACCAAACCCTGGGGCTCAGGAAGTCAAAGGACACGAACTCCTCACACCAGTGACTCCAGGCTTCCACAGGCCCCAATGTGAACATAAAACCACAGGTGAACCATGCAGGGGACTCCAGAAACATCCACAAGGGGACTTGCTTTAGAATTTAATCCAAATTCATTCCTATCGGGGGCCGTGGGGGTGTCCCCTAAAGTGGCCCCTCCAGCTTCACGTTGCGCCTTCATCCGGGCTTAAGCCTCACTCACCTATCTGCCCTTCGGAACCCACCCAAACCCACCCATCTTTGGCCTTGGAATTTATGACTCCCCATTTCTAGGTTGCTAGGGTGCGCCAGGTTTTCTGAGGCTGCTGTTTGATGATCAGGTCAGGTGTTTTTTTTTTCCCCAAACATCTCCCCTAGTACACAGACACCCTCTCATTCGCCTCAACCCATTTGATGGTCCTCAAATACTTTCGGAGATCCCTTGGTTGTCTACTGTTTGCTCCTCCCTACAATGCACCTTATTGAGCCTCTTGGTTGCTGTCAGGTCTTCTCTGGCTGTTGGGCTCAGAGCCTGGTACGATTTCCGGTACATTATAGGGACTGCTGTTTATTTGTTACATCAACTTGTTAAGGACAATCAACGGTTAGGCCAATGTCTAAAGGTTACTGAGAAAGGATTTCCATTTAGCAAACAGAGGAATTTTAAAAGTCTGTATCATATGAGTAGTAGCTTTGCCAGCGATCTCTAGAGAGTCAAGCATCAGCCAGATGTTGCAAGGGGCTTCTGTATGTCTAATGGTGACAGGACATAAACATCTGTGAATCTAGAAAACATTTTTAATGTCAAAGGGGGGGAAGCTGTAACATAACCCTTCAAAATATTTTTAAATTTTTCTTCTGAAGTCTTCTTGTCACGTAATTCATTATGACCCTGACTGTAACAGAGGCTCTTAGTCCTAACACTGGAACACATTTATGGATCCAAATGAAGTAAGAATAATATTTCATGAATAGAAACTTGCATCAGCAACAGAGGTGTGCTAGCAGCACCTGGTCTGCAGAACAACTGGCCATTAACAGGAAGAAGAATATAGCTAGTGTGGTCAGAACCTCCTCTAGGGTAATAGGGGTGATCTAATCATGGCCCACAAGTACTTGACAAGATTTAGGAAAAGAGATACAGAGGAAGGGGCTGCCTGCTGCACACGTACCATCATGTGCCAGGCAGTAAGTACTGGCACATAGATCATCTCTTTTAACACTTACCACATGATGGAGAGGGAGGTGTTCTCCCTTTTATTTATATTTCTAAGCAATGAAATCATGGCTAAGAAGAGTTGGAAAGCAAAGAAGGGTTTGCAATCAGACAGATGCAAGGTGGGATTCCTGTACCTAATTGTCTTCAGGTACCTTTCTTGAGGGTTCAATGTTCAGCTCAGGCTTAAACCTACTTCACAGGGGAGCCATCTGGACTGAATGCTATTCATACCAAGTACACAGCACAGGGCCATGCACATGACAAACATCAGTGCCCTGCCTCCCCCTCTCCCCACACTAGATACAGACATTTACTAGAAACTTACAATTTAGGGTAAATGATCTGCTCAAGATCTCTGAATCAGGAAATGTCATAGCTCAAATTCCAAGGCCACCTGCAAAGCTCTGGGCATTCATCTCTCCCTTTGCATGTCTGTGTTCCCGGTGGGCAGAGGGAAGTGAATTCCAAACATCGGGCCAAGCTTGTACAAAAGCAACATAAGAGAGCAGAAAGTAGCAGATCTCATATGTTACTGTGCAAGAACTGCTCAGTTCAAGCGTTCCATGGTATCAAATAATCGAATTTTCTAGAATTTACTGAAACCTAAATAAGATAGTTGGACAACATAACTGTCTTCTTCTTCTTCTTTTTTAATGCAACTGAACCTCTGGGCAATCAAAAGCATGAGGTTATTTCTTCTTTTTTAGGAGTCAAGCAGGTCTGCACTTTCATCTCTACAAAATGACTTAATAACCTGTTGCTGGGGTGTTAAATTTCCATCTTTGGCAGCTCAGAAAGTAAGAAATAGGAAACAAATTGAGCTTTGACTGTCACTCTGTGGAAGGGCGCTGATATTTCCAGACCAGCATAAATATTTATTTTCTCTACTTTGGCTCCCTATACACGACACTTCTCAAGAAAGGTTGACATGAGCTTTTGTCTGGACTTATAGTAGCAATAGCTGTCAGGTAGGATGGGATTAAAAAGAGTTTATAGAGTCCCAAGAACCAGAGGTCAGTTCACATAATGTTAATAAGTTTCCCTGGACCATATCAGCTGTCTGATGAAAAAGAAATTGGCCCTATTTTCCTCATGAGGAAAGCTTAAGACTCTTGGAATGCAACTCGTCCAGGCATTCTCGGCAGCCTTAAGTCCTCTGAAAGGCTGAGAGTTTCCAAATTTACAAAAATAAATATTAAAAGTACCTCAGTAACAAATATCACTCTCTAGAACTGAAGGAAAGAGATACCTTGACAAGCTAGGGATGGAAGCAATGGGTCATGATAGGAGCAGGGACATGGAGCTGTAAATCTCAGCGCCATCTTGGAGTCTGTGAATGTTCTCTGATAGAATCAAAACAATAAATGCATAAATAAGAAATGCAACCTCGCCCCACAGGGTAGTTTGAAGCCTACCCATGCAACGCTTGTCCTCATAAAGAACAAGATTAGAGGCAGATAAGCAAGCAAGGAGGAGTTCTGTGCTTTGCAACCTTGAGAGGCAGATTTTAGTCCAGGGCGTTTGAGGGACAGCCTGGAGTACTGCATTCCTAAGGCACTGGTTCTCAGGACCAGGCTGAGTTGTGGAATGCGCATGTCTACCCAGATTCTGCCCACCTGGCCTGTGGGAGGAGTGTTCTGCGTGCTCCCTTTGTTTTCTTTCTTGTGTGGAGGTAGTTGGCTTTCAGGTCCAGGATTAAAATCAATCATGGGAGATAGCAAAGAGAAGGAATCAGGATGGGAATGAGGCCGTTTCACAAGATCAAACCGGTAACAAGACTGGAACGGACCGAGGGGAGATCCTGGAATGAACAGAGAATTTAGAGCCAGAAACTTGACTCAAATCCCAGCTCTCTCATTTAGAATGCACAAGACAACCTCTGAATTTCGGAGGCTGAGATGGGAGGCACTGGCCCTCTGTATTTGCAGTGAAGGTTAAATAAGATGGCACACATGGAGTGGCCAGGATATTGCCTTATTGCCGGGCCGGTGCCAAGCCTGCAAATGCCAGCCACTATTTTTGCCTCTGAAAAGAAAAAAAAATGCTGCACGGTATAAATGGGTCCCAGGGATGATAATTAGTCAAACACATTTGTTCACGATCCAAACTGCTGCAGTGACTCAACCAGCCAGGGGCTCAAGGAAAAAAAAAAGACAAAAAGAAACAAAAGGACAGTGACACACAGAAGCAATCCAGCTCTCTATTTGGGGACAGCACAAAGCAAGGCCTTGCAAAGTGCCCTGTGAACGGGTACCAAGCAGCCAGGTGTGGGTAGCAGCAGCCCAGAGAAGGAGGAGAAGCAAGGCTCCTTCTCTGTGCACTTCATCTGCGTGGCTGGGCGCAGGAGGCAGCCGTGACCTAAATAAATCCTTCATTAGATGCAGAAAACACTGGCACAGGCGGCGCACGGCGGAGCACTGTGACAGGAGGGTGGACAGGGCCCCTCTTATTTCTCAGAGCAGCTGAGGAGAAACAGGGCTCTGCGAGCAGACGGGAGGCAGGCGCTGGGCTGTGGCAGCCCACTCTGCTGTGCCTGGCTTTGGTCCTGCCCCGGCTTATGACTCAACACCTGACAGGTGCCCTCTCAGCCACAGAAGCTCCCCCTACATGAGGGAGAGACCTCATCCATCAGCCCACAGGTGAAGAGCACCCACGAATCCCATGTGTTTCCCCGGAAATAGAAGTGGAGAGACACGGGGCATGGGAAGCAAAGAGAACCACGGGCTTTCTTGTTCCATTCTGCCATTTCACAGAAAGGGAAGTTGAGGTAGGTAAGGAATGAGAATCCCAAAGTCAGGCACACAGGTTTTGAAAAATCTAGGAAACTCCTGTGTCCTGATTTCCTTGCCAGAGGACCCCAAAACACGAGAATGTGTTGTGTTGGAGCATGGAGGATTAGGAGATTGCAGCTGGAAACAGGGATATGCAAACCAAAGTATGGGCAAAGAGAAAGGGAGGATGGGCTTCATTTCTCCAGCCACTCTGTTAGGGACAGAATGTGTCTTTGTCACGTTCATGTTTTGGACTGCAAATCCCCAACGCAATGGTACGGGAAGCTGGGGTTTTTGGGAAGTGAGTAGGGTTAGGTGAGGACGTGCGGTTGGGACCCCTTAACCCAACGAGTTTGGTGTCTTTAGAAGAAAAGGAAAGGACCAGAGAGTGCCTTCTCTGTCCACCTTGTGAACACACAGGGAGGAGGCAGCCAGGGACTGAATACGCTGACACCTTGAAGCTGGGCTTCCAGCCTCAGGAACTGTGAGAGATGCCTCCCATGGGTGGACCTGTCCTGTGGACCGGCTTAGAGCAGTCCAGCTGACTGGGATGTGGTCTGCAGAGCAACAGCAGCTGAGGAAGGGCTTTTCCTGAGCTCTCCTGCTGTGTAAGCACAGGACTGCCGGTGACGTCACTCGGGAAGCTGGCTGGCTGTAGGCTCCAGGCAGGCAACGCTGCACTTATTCTGGCTTAAACAGGCAGCTGCTGCCAACCATGGCAGCTGTTGTTGGTTGGAAACCAGGGGACCAAAGCGACTGATCTCTGGGTTTTGCAGGATTCAATTTGCCTATCTATGTGGTCAGTCCTGATGTATATTATTTCATTAAATGGATACAACTTGGCCAATAAGGAGAAGAAAGAGGCGGGGGGGGGGGAGGAGGGGAGGATTGTAGAACAAACTCAAAAAGGCTGAAACCTAAGGGCTATATTGTGCCCACAGCTCATAACTAACATTTTACCAAGTGTCTACAAGGTTTCTCAAATGGCACTGTATTTCTGGGGATGTGGAAACAATCCAGTTACTGTACTCAAATGGGTGTCTATCTGTGAATATATGGGATCTTGGAGGACATACCTGGAAGGAGCTGCTGGAGAGGAGAGAGGAGCTCTTCCACAGATACAGGTGGATAGAATGTGTGGTGGAGCACATGGTAGTTCTTCTTCCCATAATGCCCTGGGTTTGCACTCAACCAACAAAATCTATGGTAGCTGCTCCCTGACGAGGCCACAGTGGAAAGTCAGTACTCTAGTTTCACTTTCAGGAAACTTGCTGCTTTACACTTGACTTCTCCTCTGTGTCTTACTCACAAGGTGGTGGCATGGAGTGAGCCATGGTAGCCACAGACCCAGGAGGGAGCTGGAGCAGGAAGTGCGTGGATGGAGGCCAGAGGGGAGGCTCTGTGCGGGCATAACCTTGGAAGAGATGAGTCTGATCTGCAGAAAGTCCCCCAGGGGCTCGGGCTCTAGTTATTTCGCGGCAGGAAGCTGGGCTGTGCTCTGTACAGAAGGCCCAAGCTGGACTTTGCTATGGGGCCCGCAGGTGATGGTGGGCGGAGGGTAGGTGGTGCGCGGCTGTGAGAACTGCACACCCCTTCAGTGCCTGCTGAAGGATTCAGGGATTAAAAACAGGGTCCTAACGCCTCTTTACCAGCAGGCAGGAGGAAAGTGAATGGAAGAAACATCTTGAAAATTTCTGTTTGACTGTGGCCCAGAGCTCCTTCCATCCATATGGTTTAACATGATCATTTAAAAACAAATATTTAAGTGACCGTTCAGTAACATGCCCCTGTTCCTTCACTTCACATATGGTTATATCCTGCTACATGCTTCTGGCTGCTGAAAATGTCATAGGTGAAAATGAATTGTAGATCCATAACCTATTGAACATCGTAGCTGAGTGACACAGCACACAGCACTGGAAGTGTCAACTGCTTCCTTGGTGCAGGGAAGTCCCCCCCTGTGATGCACTCACTGTTGTCTGTCAGCATCTTGAGAACAGGGGAGCAAGTATGACCGGCCCAGGCACAGCTCCATATTCTAAGCTCAAAAGACGGGATCTACTGAAGGCTTAGCATTTTCTCACCACAGTTAAGTTGAAAAACTTTAAGGCAAACCATCCTAAATCAGGACTGTTTGTTTGTATTGCCAGGAAGAGAGAAACCAAGCCTGCAAGGAGCTCGGGGGAAAAACTAGAGTAGAAATCAGCACCATCCCAGGTTCTTTTTTTTTTCTTTCTTGGAATAAATCTGCTGCCATTAATATGATAGTTGTGAATCAGCAAGAATACACACTTCTTACCTCTGCCTCCTCCCCCACGTATTTGCACCTGCCTTGAGAAACACTTAAAAATGCAGTGCAAGTTCAATATTCCTTTGTGCTGATGTTTGGGGGAATCAGCAAAATTGATTAGTATCTTATTTATCTTGAATTCAAGCTTTAAAATTTCTGTATCAATTTACCTTATCAAGATAATGCCATTTTATTATCTTGTCATCTTGAAATATTTAAATGCCCTGTGATGTATTCAGATTTACAGCACTACACATGAATTACCCTGGACACAACATTTGTAATCTCTTACTATCTCTCACCCCAATTGGAATATCTTCAGATCAGATACAATGATCTATATCAAGGCAAAGCATCATAGACTGTGTTATTCATTTGTTCTGAATGCTAATGAAAATGATTGA